GCCGAGTGCTGTGATGTGCCCAGTGTGGGTAGTCCGGGCACTCCAAGACAGGACTGCTTTGCAAGTGGGGCACCCCTGAGAACTGTCTGTCCGGGGTGAGGGTCGGGACCCTTTAAGCACAGCCCTCGATTAGCCTGAGACAGCATCTCCACGCTCTAAGTCCTCCTCTGATGCCCTGCCGGCACTGCTTCCGGCCATCCTTAACCTCGGTTCAGGGACCACTTAATGTGGACATGCTAGTTCAAATTAGCAAAATGCTAATTCAAACTAGTTTTTTAGTCTTGAAGTAAGAATAAGAGCCTCCGGAAAAGGGCGCTTTTTCCGGAGGATCGGGGCCAGTCTAGACGCTCTTTTCCGGCTTTTTTAAAAGCCGGAAAAAAGCGGCGGACATTTTTATTTAAATGCCGCGGGGGATATTTAAATCCCCCGCGGATTTCCCTACGACGACTGCTGAAATTTACATGCCCCTTCCGGAAAAGGGGCCAGTGTAGACGTAGCCCTGGAGTGCCTGAAAGTCCCTCCCCCTAGCAAGGCTCAGCTAATCAGCAGAGGCTTCTAGAATTCAAACTTTAATTAGAAGCCAACTGTTTCCACCTGCCAATCACAGAATACACTGCATGAAGGGGAGGGGGAGGGGCAAAGGGGAAGTGGAAAAAAAAAAGCCTCACTCACAAACAGGGAGAAAAAATCCACACCAACAAAACAAAAAAGCACACACACCAACCCTCACTCACAAAGACAAGCTCAGCACACAGCAAGAAAGCCCCAAACACAACACACACTTCCCTCAAGAGTCCTGTATCTGCTTCTCCTCTACCTGGAGAACTCCCTCTCTAAACTCCCTGGTAGTACTCTCCTGTTCACCGGTTAGGAGGTGCTGGGGGAGGCTAACAGTGCCTATGCAATGATGAAAGGGTGGGGGGGAGGGTCTGCAAACAGGCTGACCAAGGCCCAAGGCCCCTCGGCAGGGTGCACTGGGGGAGGGGAAATAGATGGGTCTGCTGTCGGGCTGACCAAGGCTCGACACCCCTCAGCAGGGTGCAGTGGGGAAAGGGGGTGATGGGTCTGCAGTCGGGGAGAGACAAGCCCTTGTGCTTGGTTATGGGCTCCTGCATCTCCCTGCAGGGCCACCCGTCTAAAGCGCTGCAAGGACGGGCAATGCCAGTGGAATACGTCATGTACCAGGGCATCAAGTTCCCCCCTGCGTACAACTCTGAGCAGAGCCTGCACTTTGCCCACCGGGAGTTCCAGGTGCAGGATGACGACGTCTTCAACGTCACCTACCCCAAATCAGGTGGGGGGCTGTGGGCACAGGGGTGGGATCAGGAGAGGGCCCTGGCAGGGCGAAGGGGAGAGTGCACACCTTACCCTGGAACCCTGGGGAGGGCTGGGCATGCCAGGGCAGGGCTTGCAGAGGGGTGGAGAGGGCAGAGTGTGGCTGGCACTGTGGGTCCCTAAGATGGCTCCAAAGGCGCCACTGATGGAGCTTCCCCCCCACCCCATTCTTCACAGGCACCGTGTGGATGACTGAGATCTTGAGTCTGATCTGCAGAACCGTCCTCAACTCCACCCGCATGCCCTGGTTCACCACCCGCCTGGGGCTGGAGGCTGCACTGAACTACCCCCCACCCCGCCTGCTGACCTGCCACCTCCCCATCCAGCTCTTCCCCACCTCTTTCTTCGGCTCCAGGGCCAAGGTGAGCCAGGCCGGCAGCGCACGGGGGGCAGGTTACGGTGCCAGGCTGGGGCCGACCCCCCAGGGTTATCCAGGAATTACTGATGAATCTTTCATTAAGGATTCTGTCCTGTGATGAAATCTCCAGAAATACGTCCAAGCGAAACTAGCAACCCTGAGGGTGAGAGGGGGCAGGGCTGTGGTGCTGAGCAGGGGACAGGGCTGTGGAGCAGAGAGGGGGGAGCAAGCGTGTGGTGCAGAGCAGGGGAGCAGGTCTAAGAAGCATAGGCGAGGGGTGCAGGGGGGCAGAGCTATGCTGCAAATCCAACGGGGTAGGATGCATGTGAGCTGGGGACTGGGGGAGGGGAAGCAGTGTTATTTGCAGAGCAGGGGGGCAGGGTTATGGTGCAGACCCAAGAGGAGCAGGGCTAGGATGTATAGCTGGGGATGCGGGGGCTAAGGTGCATATCTGGGGGGAGGGGGTGGAGATGCAGGGGCTAAGGTGCAGACCCCTAGGAAGCAGGGTTTGAGGCACATGCAGCAAACGGAAGCCTTAAGCATGTGCCTGAATTCCAAGTTCCTTGACCCTGCCCCATAGAGCCGTGAGGGATTCCCTGGCTCACCGGTGGCTGGATGCCCACAGACAAGCTAGCTGGGCACTTCAGGGTCTCCCTGACCCATAGGGGTAATAACTGAGCAGCATTGCCCCTCGCCCCAGCCCACGTCTCTGGCCCTACCCCTGCCTGCACTCCCCTCCAGGTGATCTACACGCTCCGCAACCCTAAGGACGTCCTGGTCTCCTACTTCTATTTCTCCAAGATGTGCAGCTCGTACGAGGACCCCGAGTCCTTCGAGCAGTTCTTGGGGGACTTTCTGAGCGGGGACGGTGAGTGAGGCTCCAGGACCTCGGCCATCTCTGGTCATGGGGAGGAGGAAGCTGAGCAGGGACTGGAGACCCGTCTGCAAATGTGGGGAAAGTTGCTATAAAGAGCATGGGGATCAATTGTTCTCCCTCTGCTCCAAGGGGAAGACAGGAAGGAATCCGCTCAGTGTGCACCAAAGGAGTTGTAGGTTAGAAAGCAGGAAAAACCAGGGCACCTAAGCTCTGGGGCAGGTGACCTAGGCAGGTTGTAGGATTCTTGTCATTGGAGGTTTCCAAGAACAGGCTGGACAGACCCCTGCCCGGGTGAGTCTAGAGTGACTCAGAGGGATGGAAACAGTGACCCCTCCAGGGTCCTTCCTGCAGGAACGTTCCCTGCTCCATGCAGCTCCTGCCCCTTGGGAGAGTCCCCTCTGCGGATAGTCTCTGGCTGGCGCTCACAGCCCCACCCTGCTCTGCTCTTTGCCCCGGCAGTGCCCCATGGGTCCTGGTTTAACCATGTGAGAGGCTGGATGGAAATGAAGGGCAAGGACAATTTCTTCTTCACGACGTACGAAGAGCTGCAGCAGGTACAGGGAGCCAGGCACGTCCCTCGCCAGTGCAGACTGGCCGGAGCTGCAGAGGAGTCAGTCGACCAGATCCCCCGGGGAAATCAGGAGTAACTGAAGTGGTGTCGGGGGAGCTGATTAGTTGGGACTGGAAGTATTGTTCTTTTTATATTTATATTTTAGGTTCAATAAGGTGGCAATGTAGTTGAATGATGTAGCAATCTAAGGTAACATATTATTATATTAAGTCCTTTTAGTTAAATGTATATCCCTTTGTCCTAACGCTTAGTAAGTTTAGCAAAAGGCCTAAGTAGGGACAGATAAACTACTAGAAGAATGTTGAAGGCTGAGACCTTAACTGCTTGATTTACAATGCCTTTCGGTCTGAGAGTTTAAGCATAAGACTCCCCTTCTACCCCGGGATGTAATTCAGGCGGCGCTATGGGAACCAGTGGGAGTGAGGGGTGGGCTGCCTCCGCGCCTATCCCACTGACGTCTGTGTTTCAGATCAGACACCACCCAGGTATAGAAATTGTCCTCTTCACCCAGCCAGGCCTGCCAGGCCCTGCTCTGTTGTGGTCCCCGTCTACCCGGCAGCGTGGGGGGCTCTGCCAGACCCTGCCCCAGTTACTGTCCTCGTCTCTCCAGGCAGCATGAATTAAGTTAGTTCGAATTAGTGCTGTAGTGTAGACATACCCTGGTTTCTTAGGGCGTTATTTCCCCTAGGACCTGCGGGGCAGCGTGCAGCGACTCTGCCAGGTCCTGGGGCAGGCGCTGGATGAGGGAGCCCTCACGGCAGTGGTGGAGAACGCCTCCTTCAGGACCATGCGGGAGAACCAGATGTGCAACTCGACACTGCTCCCCGCGGACATCATGGATCAGGAGAAGGGCACCTTCCTGAGGAAGGGTGAGGAGATGGGCACCCTGGGGCAATGCCCAACAAGGCTTCTGGGAGCATGGATCTGCCCCCCCTCCACTCCCAAAGTTATAGTGAGGAGGCTGCTGTCTGCCAGCCCCATCATTGGGGAGCTTCACAGATGGTTACAGTCCCTGCCCCCATTTGCCCAGGCAGCGTGGGGGGCTCTGGTTTCTGAGGGCGTTATTTCCCCCAGGACCTGCGGGGCAGTGTGCAGCGACTCTGCCAGTTCCTGGGGCAGGCGCTGGATGAGGGAGCCCTCACGGCAGTGGTGGAGAACGCCTCCTTCAGGACCATGCGGGAGAACCAGATGTGCAACTCGACACTGCTCCCCGCGGACATCATGGATCAGGAGAAGGGCACCTTCCTGAGGAAGGGTGAGGAGATGGGCACCCTGGGGCAATGCCCAACAAGGCTTCTGGGAGCATGGATCTGCCCCCCCTCCACTCCCAAAGTTATAGTGAGGAGGCTGCTGTCTGCCAGCCCCATCATTGGGGAGCTTCACAGATCCCATCGAGCCCTTGTGGGGGATGAGCCGGGGGCAGAGCCAGGATTGTGCACTGGGAGCAGGGTGGGCTCAACCCCCCCTTGCAGCAGCAAGCGCCCCGCGATCTGCAGGGTGGGAGGCGAGTCCCAGTCCCCGCGATGGCCATGGTGCGAATCCTGAGCAGCGCCACTCGCCTTCCACAGGCATCTGTGGGGACTGGAAGAACCATTTCACAGCGGCGCAGAGCAAGGCCTTCGACGGGATCTACCGGGACCGCATGGGAGGCCTCCTGGGGGCGTTCCCCTGGGATGCGCCCTGGGATTGAACAGTGGGAATAAAGCATCCAGGA